TGCAGTTCAGTCACACAGCACAATGCCACAGATGTTGCAAGCCCTCTACAAAGGAGTTTCAGACAATTTGGCAGTACATCCAACCGGCCTCACAACCACATACCACGTGTAACCCCACCAGCCCAGGACCTCCACATCCAGCATCTTCACCTCCAAGATCGTCTGAGACCGGCCATCCGGACAGCTGCTGCAACAATCAATTGGTTTGCATAACCAAAGAATTTCTGCACAAACTATCACGAACCGTCTCAGGGAAACTCATCTGCATGCTTGTCGTCCTCATCGGGGTCTCGACCTGACTGCAATTTCGCAAAGCCGTTGAAGAGGAGTGGGCCAACTTTCCACAGGCAACAATCAACAACCTGATCAACTCTATGCAAATGAGATGTGTTGCACTGCGTTAGGCAAATGGTGGTCACACCAGATACTGACTGGTTTCTGGACCCCATGGACCTCCCCAATACAGTGAAACTGTACATTTTTGAGTGGCCTTTTATTGTGGCCAGCCTAAGGCACACCTGTGCAATACCCATGCTGTGTGATCAGCATCTTGATATACCACCTGTGAGGTGGATGGATTATCTCGACAAAGGAGAAGTGCTCACTAACAGAGATTTTGACAGATTTGTGAACAGTTTTTGAGAGAAATAGGCCATTCGTGTCCATAGAGAAAGTCTTACATCTTTGAGTTCAGCTGATGATGAAAGGGGGCAAAAACACAAGTGTTGCGTTTATAATTTTGTTCAGTGTGCATATTGTTTATTGTTGATCATTTTATCACATAAAACATTGTACTACACCCCGGCACACCCCGAGACGGCGGTAAGACATGACTTCAGTTGGAGAAATTTACCTGCAGCCATGAAAGGAAAAAGAGGCACAAGCACGTTTGTAAGCAATAGCAGCGGGAGCTAGCGTGCTAACATTATTTCACAAGTAAAACATTATACAGCGTTTTATCAAACCCTTTACTGTCATTACGCTCTATTAACGTTCTTGCTCTCACTGTGTCCCATTAAGTCTTGAACTTGAGGCCTGGTGAGTTCTCAAATGCCCTCGAATACGTCTCTCCCAGGTCGCTATAGAAATAAATGGGAGTGAAATCCGGTGTGACCATAGAGTACATTCGAAATGGCTTCATGGGTTGCATTCAAATTAATTTTAACAACTCAAAACTGTTCAAACCTGATTTTGTTACACTATTGGTGTGCATGTGAGCAGACTCTGTGTCAGCAGACTCTTTGTTTGACTCTTGACCTCAGGTTGTTTAATCTGGTTTGAGTTCATCAGTCTTAAACTGAGTCTCACAGCGGGCGGTTGCCTGCTCTTCTGAAACAAAAGTACTGAAAAAAAAAGGAAACCTATGAAAGGTATGTCGGCTCTTTTGACAGATTATCTCAAGCAAATTGTGCACCTGACCTATGTAGTGATCTAAAGGATCTGTGCTCAGACCACCAGCCAAAACCAGGCTAAGCATGTGCCCTGTGACCTCTACTCCACACAGTCCAGATTAGCCTGGGGCCACCAGGCAGATAGCCTTTCAGGAAAAGGCTACCCTACTCTGAAGGACAATGGCTGTGTTGTCTTTGACAGAAAAGACATTATTTGCATTGTATTACATTTCTTATAGGACAGAAAAATTCAAAAAATTTCACCACCATTCTGTAATTTCACTTCAGTCTGTTGGAGTCTTTATTATCTTGATAGCTTATTGTGTTCATCTGAATCCATATCTGCACCTGATTTGTTAGTTCTCCACTGCCTCCCCCATTTAGAAAATGTTTGGCTTTGTATCTTTTATAGGCTACACCAGTTATTGAGTGCAAATGATTTGTTCAGGGCCTACTGTACTTCCTGTTCAGCCTTGTCTGTTACATGACATGATTCTCTGCACATCTGTTTTTACAGCTGTGAGATCATGATCACTGGATCTATTCTCTCTAGTTAGTGTTTGTTTACAAAGCGTTCAGCGTGTGTGTGTGTGTGTGTGTGTGGTTGGTTGGTTGGAGGTTGTGTTGCTCTGTGAGAACTGACTGCCAACAGATGAGCTCTCAATTACCACAGTTGACGGTTCAGACTACCACACTACAGTATTTCACTTCCTTCTGCTTGGTTTATTCACTAAAGGTTGAATGACCAACGTGTTTCACATTGAGAAAATGTGAAGAATACATTTTTAAAGTTTTCATGATTAGCATCACCTCAGATTACTTTCATTTACTTTTGCTCAAAGGTCGTTTACATCATTTTGACTCATTTACTACAATTGCAAACTCTTTATTTTGCTGGTGAACGTTTTCTAAAGCACATCATATATTTTTTTATTGATATGCCACCTTTCATGAACTGGTTTAAATACATTTAGCTATTACATAATATTAATGCAGTGCTTTTCGGTGCCCAACTCAAATCTTGGATACAGACAAGAAGGGTTTTCCAAGTGGTTCATAAACAATAATTTTACTTATATAATAATGTAAATAAATAAAGATCAAAAAGCATTCATTGTAATGGATTAGCTGTCTCAAGCAAGGTTACACTCTAAACATATAAACAAACCTGGAGAAAGAAAATCTTTCTAAAGAACAATGCATTGAAACAGTCATGTTAAATGATCATGCAATTTGTAGATAATAGGCAAAACAACACAAGGGACACAATAACACAATCATGTTCCTTCAAGCATCTGCTAACCACACAGACAGCGAGTGTGAACATGCATCATCCAATTCAGTTTAATTTCAAGATACCAGTGGTGGAAAATAATTAAGTACATTTACTCAAGAACTGTACTTAAGGACACTTTTGAGGTGCTTGTACTTTACTTGAGTTTCTGCATTCTTTGCTACTTTATTCTTCTACTCCACTACATTTGAGAGGTAAATATTGTACTAAATTCATTTGATAATTTTAGTTACTAATTCAGCTTTTCACAAACTATAAATAAACAAATAAAAGATGATGTAATATTATAGGTTAAGCTGTATAAAGTAATTAAAATCACGTCTGTTTTTACCAGCTTCAACATTAAAGTAAAGTATACGTTAATGCATCAACAATTTGTAATCCAATAATATAATATATATTATTCAGTGGCAACTCAGCATAATAAGTACTTACACTTTCTACACTGTGGTATTACTACTTTTACTTAAGTAAGAAATCTGAGTACTTCTTCAATCACTGCAATCAGTGTGATGTCAATGCCAGAGGATGTACGTCAGTCAAAGTGGCATTCTGTCACAATTAGGGTTTGTGATATAGTCTGCCATTCTCTACAAGGCACTATATCGCCGGGTTGGCTCCCTTCCCACCGCTGTTGCCCTAGGGCATTGAGTCAGTGCCACAGTTTTGTGCTGCAGGGTGATATACTGAATCAGTGGAAAACATAGTTTGAGTCTGCTTTCACATACACCAAGATCTTTCCATGAATGTTCGTCTGTCATCTAGTTGGAATGTTTCCCTATATCAAACATTGTTATAAATTGGCTGTATTATTCAGTGCCATTTCCTCATGTGGGTACAGAAATCTTTGTTTGTAAAAACTCAAGCATCCATTCTCCAGAGAGAAAACCCTGGTTTTCCATTTCAGCTGAGTTGTAAAATATTTTCCCATGAAACCTGGAAACAACTATATGTTAATTAATTAATGCAAACATATTAATGATTTAAATTGAATCTATACATTTTAGATTTACATTTATTCCTTTTCATGGCCAGATAACTAAAGTCCACACCTGCTTACCCAGATCAGAAATGTATTTCTGTTCTTTTTATAAACTGCACAATGGTTTATAAGCACCGACAAATCCTTTCAAGTGGTGAACAAATGCATCAGCCAGAGAGGGCCTCTGTAAGGACGTCTCATGTGGTTTACAAGGCTATAACAAATTATAAACCAAATGTAAAACACCAGGAATACATCAACACAAGTTTGTAATATTTTACAAACTCTGATTTCCTCTATTACAGATGTCTTTTCTTGATGCGGGTGCTTATGATCGCATAAGAGGACTCACACAGAGCTGAACCCATCCCATTAACTTGGTGAACACTTCACCAAGCACAGCCTGACAGTGACAGCTGTGGAGAATAAAATCAAAAGAGCACAATCATCTCCCTCGGTCTCTTTCGTACCTGTCCAGAACCCATCAATTCAAAGATTGTCCCTTGAAATCAAATATGACTGAGGCGGGACACTGTGTCCAAAGGGCTGGAGAGGTTTGACCCCTGGAGTGGGTTGATGCCTATTATACCATTGCCCCAAGGCATTGAGCACCCCCTTCTACCACACACACACACACATACCCAGAGGATCAGGTGACCCTCCAACCTTTGAAACTGTGTATGTGATCAAACCTTCCGCCTCTGCTAAGGACACATTGAGTGAAACACAGGCCTGTGTCTCTTTACAGGGATTTTTTCTCTCCTGTCATTGTGCAGTTACAGATACTTAATGATGGGATGGATACAGTAAATACTCTACGTTTGGTGGTATTCTACTTTAACCAGTATTAAGCAAATTAATTATACATATAACCTATTTTTAATTTTTTATTACTTCAATAATTTAACTACATTATCCTAGTCATTTTGTTTTTTAGGTATACGGCATTGAATCAGAACACTTCATGTATAACGAAATGTAATTCCTCCATAATTACCTGACCTGATCTAAACTTAATTAGGTCCACTTGTAGCATGAAAACTAATACGTTAGATGGCTCCCAAATATTTGGCAGATGTGTCCAATCTATATCAACATAATTCCCAACAGCTGCACTCAAACCTAGTTTAAATTTTAATATGTTCTCAAAAGGTTGATGCACTGTAGTTGATGTATGGGTAATCGTTGACTGTGGTACCTTGTATGGAATTTATAGGTTCCCAGTGGTCATAAATGTAAATGTATGTATGTTTTTCTACATTATAAATAACATTCAAACAGGTGCTACCACTCACTGAATATTGATTAAATGCATGATATGTTCCCTATCCAGTTGGTGACCTTCATGGACGATTTAACCTGAAGAGTAAACGCAGACCTTTGTGCTCCACGCTTAACTGCACTTTTGTGTCCTTGGATTCTGAGACCCCAGGCTCTGAGGTTGCAGCGAGCATGTGATTTTCAGTTTAAACATCCTTAATCCACACTCAGGTTGGTGGGTCAGTCAGCCACATGAGACGGTTAAGGGGAAAAAAAGCATTACTAAGCTTTTGCTGTCATTTTCAATTAACCTGTCTGGTGTCTGTTTAAGTCCAGCGGTGCTGCTGCAGAATGTCCCCAGAACTGGAACAAGATGAATAAAAACACCTCACAGTATGGCAGCAGTGTGAGCAGTGTTGAATTAGCAAAGTCTATCTGCTGCCCTCCTGTGGAGCCAGGGTGACACTGTTTATGTTATGGTACATTCAAAAAACACAATCTGTGTAGCTGTCAGGGTTATAGATCGATTGAGCTTAATTGAATTAGCTCACTTTCAGATAGTTAATTAATGTATCCATCAGCCTTTTATTTTTGCATTACTGACCCAACATTTTAATACATCAGTGATACATTTTTGTATTGTGGATTGAGCCTTTTTAAATGTTTACATGCTAGTGGTGATTAAAAACAGTTGCCAATAGTTTTCATAAATGATGTAAAATGTTAATAAAACATATTGTTACTTAAAGCTTAAAGCAATTCCATTACTTTTTTCTCATGTTTCTCTCCTCTGTACCCTGCCAGCAGATGTATAGCATAACACGTCTTGTTTTGACGCCTATATCCTCAGAGGAGTTACGACAGGCAGGTATGCCTGTCCAACTTCTCATTAGAAGAAAGAGCAAAGTAATCCCCTTAGGGATCTTTTCACTTTGCGAGGCCAACAACAACAGATGTACAGGCCAGGCTGCTGGAAAACTCTAAATTATTGCTTAATTAAGCTTTCTTTTGTGAAGGAGGGTTTGCCCAGATCGTATTGTGAGGACCCACGGAAGTAGACAAAATGGCAGCAGCAGCAGCAGCAGCAGCAGCAGCAGCAGCAGCAGCAGCAGCAGCAGCAGCAGCAGCAGCAGCAGCAGCAGCAGCAGGGCATACAGAAGAAAGCCCCCAAGGCATGTGTGACTTCATCTTTGTGACAGTCCAAGACTGGAAAGCAGCATGGTCTGACTGAATCTAGACATGGTATAGGATTATGTCAGATCACAGTGTCTGATTGTTCAGACGTAGATACAATAGAGGCTTTACAGGCAACTAAGAACAAATACTTTATTCATGCTTATCCAAAAGGTATTCCTGCATAATATAGATGGCTATATATAGACAGCAACATGCATTCAATGCTGCACAGAGGCTTAGAAGACTATAACGTTGTATGGGATGTAGGATGCAGTGAACGTAAACACTGATGGATCACATTGTATTCTGTCATTTTACTGTTATTGTATCAGATGTTTGAGCATCTTTCTCTACTAATCAAAACATTGCAACAGTGATGTAAATTACTGTAGTCGGTATGGAGGGTTTCATAAATGAATATGCTTTGTGGATCCAAAGGAGGTTGAAAGATTTAAAAGTAAGCTAAATTTTAAATTATTAAATTATTTTTTTATTGAAGCTCAGTTTGTATTGTGAATTTAAAGAGTCTCTCGTTTCAGACTGTCCTGACAACAAAAGCACAGCATTGGGAAAGGTGGAAGTAGTGGGGGTGTTGTTAGTTCTGCAAAACCTCTTAGGGATCAGGTTCGGGCAGGGGGATGAATCAGCAAAGCATGTGACATGTGAGACCTCTGTTCCCATCCTATTTAGTCAACATCGTTTTCTTTACTATGAACATAATTAATAACTAACTGAACTTTATTCATTCAATAACTGCCATTTTTATCAGTTTCATGTTACAGGTACTTGAGTAATGATTTATTGTTGGGTTGTTGTTGGGAAGTAATCAACACTAAACATTGCGACTGTACTGGCCACTTACAGGCTGCAACAAGACTTTCCCATTTCCTACAGTGTCGCTTCCCAAGAGCTGAGTGGTGGGACCCTGCCCGCCCTCCTTTGCCCCCCCAACACCAAACCATCACTGATGGCTCTTAGGTTAACATATAAATGCAGACAGAAACTAAATCAAAATACTGCAGGGATACGGGTCTCAACAAACAAGTTACTCAGTATTCTGCAATTTGCCAACTTTCCTGCGAATGTGTTTTCTTCCTCCTTCACAGTTTTGCGTCTTCATTTGATTGGCTCATATTAGATAAGACCCATATTGTTCATATTCAACCAAACAATAGGTCAGTGACAATGACGTAATCATGGCAAAAGTCACTGACAAACAACCTTATCCTGCTGATGAAGAATATGCTCAAATCTGTCATTTTGGAAGGCTGTCGAGCAGACGATATTATCGTTTAGCTTAGTTGAGAGAAAAACTGGTTGACTCAAACTTAGCTGCTTAGTCACTAGAATAGTGAATAATGAAGCAGCTCCGATGGCTGCACAATTTAACATTGATTTGGCACTTGATAACTAGAGCCTGGTTGATACTGAAATTGTTAGGCTGACATCAATATTTTAGAATTACGAAATATATAGAGCCAGTAGATTACTGAATGCAAAGGTGAAACTCATTCTAAATTCCCTCCAACATATCTGTATATTTTCAGTTTCTTGTTACTGCACACACAGTAAATATGAGAATATCAGGCAGTTGTATTGTCCATCCAAAATATCCATCAGGTTCTGATAACACCATCCAAGTAAATCTTGATGCTCTGATTTGTAGTCTAAGCAGACCTGACTTTACTGTATAAAATCAATGGAACAGTGAAATGAGCATTTTGCTTTAGAAGGGTGTTCATCTCAGAAAATTGCCTTCGATTCTCCTGGGAACCTTGTTGGAGGAACAAAAACAAACATGCACTGATGTTTGGCAATCTGCCGGCTGGATGAGGTGTAGATAGTAAACAACTGTGGCTGTCCTGAGATACCACACATACGATTAAATCACACGCAAAGTAAATCTGAAGAAAACATATTATGTATCATGAAACAAATCTGTTTGAAGGTGTTTGTTGTATTGAAGATTAGAACAGAAACAACCGAGACTGATGACCCTTGATGGTTCGGAGCAAGAACTCAAACACAACTCCATTTTTCGCCCTTTGATTAGAGGCATTTTCTTTCCTCATTCCAGCACTGCTCTAATCCTCTCTGTGTGCCTTGTCATAGATTACCTGAAGCTAGGAGCAGAGCAGTCTGGCCTCCTTGTGACAGGTCAGAATATTTATATCTGTGTCCCATCTGTGCACAGATTGTTCTCCTTTTCATAAATGATTGAGCTAAGGCAATTGCACAGGCAGGAAGGAGTGAGACCTCCCCTTGTGGTGGCCGGGGCAGCAACTGAGTCCAGTATCTGTTACTTGTTTGTTTAGCGAGATGTGCTGAGAGAACAAATGTGAGCGGTATCATATGTGACACATTTAAAGTCTGAGCGGATGTTTTTAAATAAATGTGTCACTTTCTGCTGTCTTCATTGTGTGCATGAATTACTGTATCTGTGTGAGTGTTTTGCAAGCTCCACTCGCTCCAGTAAATGAGCCCAGCAAGCCTCATATTTTATCACATTTGCACAAATATGTTCGCTCAAGATAACAAACAGTGGTGAAGGCTTTGGAAAAGGTTCTTTGTGTGTGCCTGGGTGTTTAATTGTCTGCAGGCGTTGAAAAGTCTTGTAACACGATTTTAAATATTTTTATGTTTTGATCAGAGATGTGTTAATTTCTGTAATGTTTCGTAATCTCTCACACAATACTATATATACGTGGATTTAAATACGCACCTGCCAAATACAGGGTAAATGCTGTCTGTTGTAAATTTTCCTGCCACCATAGCATGGTGGGTGATTCTTGATATTGAGTTATGATCTAATGTTTTCTATGAAATATGAACCTTAAGGCTATACAATATATTCCAAACCCACAAACAGGCCAATTACAAAACAATTCTTTAAATGGATTGTACACTAATTGGCCTTATTTCTATCACATTTGATCAATGCCACCAGAATGAGAACAAGCAACAAGAGTCTTAATTGAGCCAATAAACAAAGACTTCCACAGGATTTATGGGTACACTTTGTCATGGCACCGCCTGTCAGCAGCAAATTGCCAGTGGTGTAATTGATTACAACGGTCAGTGATCGTATACACACGCACAACACCACTTTCCTTGTCATGGACTCCAGTTATACTACAACATTTAAAGCCAAAAACAATACATTCAGCTAATGTGTTCATAATTATAGGAACCCCAGAGGGAGAAAAGCAGAGCCTTTAGAGAGATCCATCTGTGATTTTGCACTGAGGATTGCTGATGTCTCTTCAAAGGCGTCTTATGTCTAATGAGGGCTCGCGCTTTGAAGTCTGTCCTCATAAAGCTTTGTTTGCTTTTGTTTGGAGTTTTAGAAAAGATGAATTGCTCGCATTAACATTAAAAAAGAACTAAAGGGAACCCTTAACTCATTGTTGGATGATTGGATTTGATTGTTATGGTTTGGTAATTATAATAACCCCTTTTAATATCACAGTGTATGGTTAATGGGGGACGACAGCCCCCTATTCGATGCCTGCCCAATGTACTCGTTATGCAACACAGTAAGATGAAGCAACTTGAAAAGCACATAAAGCAGATACATGACGTGTCCTCTGGTTTGTATTACTTCTGGGAAATGCCAAAGAAAAAGTTGCACTATTATATAATTATTGTTAGGTAGAAATGAATGCTCATTATTATTCTGATTGAATTTGCACTACAACACTCTCTTCTCCATTATACATTGTGTCTGTAAGCTAACACAGGATGCGTTGTTCACTGGGTCTTTTCCCACAGCTGTGCCCAGGCTCTAATCATCTCCACTGACCTGGATCATTACCTCAGTCAGGCCCTCACAGCGCTATCGGTAAATATTTCAATGCAAACTGATGCCGGGGAGGGTAAATGGTCCTGTAACACAGAGTCATGTCAGGATGCTGCTGCTATCGTCACCGATATGTGGTTGTAGTTTGATATCTGTTGATCTTTGTGTGGATGTTGGAAAAGAGCATCAGTCATGGCCTTCTGGAAATAGTGTAGGAAAAAATCAATGGACATGCATGTAGTGCATTATGGTCATAAGTCCATTGAATACTTTCACAGAACGTCAGGATTCTGTCTTGTACAGCATTTAATTGATGTGATCATAAAATGTATTGCCTGGAAAACTGAGCTTCCAATTATAGTTGATATCAGATTCATATTTTGACAATTTTAGCAACAGTTCAGACAGGAAAAAAAAAAATCCATCTTTGCATCTTAGAACTGAACTCTGATTAATCCATAGTACGGATATAAAAAAAATTTCTACGGGGTCCAATCAGTGCAATCTCATTTAGAGGTCAGGTCAATATGGATAAATAATTTTATCACAGTATATTTGATTTCATGTATGATGCGACAGGTTGGATTTAATGTATGATGCAACAGGTTGATTCATGTTAGATCATTATTATAGTTGATTTTCTGGAAATGCAATTGAACATCATCTATTGATAAAATGACACACTGATGCAAAACCTGGAGATGTAAGAATTTTTAAAAAATTGCCAGTCCTTCTCATTAGTATGGAAAATTTCTTACAATGGCCTGAT